TGCTTGAAGATTTCATCGTAGCCATATTCTACTGTGTTTTAAGGAAAAAAATCACAGACGGTAATTATTGTTTTATTAATAAAATAACACTAATTAGTAAAGAAAAAACTCCCAACTGTAGTGACAGGCAATTAAGAGAATTTTTTTAATCAGTGAAGCTAGTTTTGATTGACAAATATTACCACTTAGAGTAGCTGTGATATCGATTAGGTAATCAGCATGAGAAAATTTCGCGATAACAATTATTAATAATAAATGCAATGGTCAAGATGTTATGTTGAGTTTTAATTAATAAATTAACATGAATTGCAACATCGGAAAAATTGAGTGTATAAATGAATGAAATTAATTATATTTGATAAACTATCGATTTTTCAGACAATGGCTGGGAAGCTCTTGGTGACGTGCTTGAGGCTCAACAGCCGAGTCGTGCCGTCGAGGATGATGTCCAGCGTACATCATGAGGAGGTTCCTTTTGTGCCACCGTACGTTAAGAAAATCGGCAAACGTGAAATTGTCGGGTACGGTATGAATGGCGAGCCTCATTACATGGATCTCTGGGACTACCCATTCCCTTCAATCAGATTCAAGGTTTGAGAGCCCTGAACTGCGTGCCATGATGCCCTCGGCTTCGCCTCGGGCATATGGCGCGCAGTGCAGGAATCTCAAACTTTCTGCCCTTGTAGTGTAATATACTATTACTTCTTTAGATCGTTACTGATTAAAAAAAAAAAAAAATTTTGTCCACCCTTTTGGTACCAAGCCTTATCTAATTGTTGGAATACGCCCTTTTGAAATTAATCACTCAAATTAATTATTCAATTTTAAGTAGTTTTGTCAAGAAATTAATCAAATAACAAGCTAGTTACCCTTCATGACTGTACAAACGTTTCCTTGACAATAAAATTAGTCAGACGGCTGACCAAACAACGACTATCTCTACTTGTAAAAATAAAATCCATTCAGAAGATAACAAATGTGATATTTTTTCTTCTTATTTTCGAATTTCAGTAATTTATTTAGAATTTTTTGTTTGTTTGCTCGAAAAGTACGGAAGCAATAAATTCTCATAGTTGTTTACCGGTTATCGCGGAAAAAGCCCGCTAATAACTCTTCACATCGCTACTACGTGAGTACTACCATGTACTGAGAGTATAAGAGATATTGAAGGAAGAAATGGAGAGAAGTATACAGCGAGAGTGTGTAAGTAGGAGTAAGCGAGTCTGTGAGTTAGTCAGTAAAATTGTTCACGCGCTGAGGGGATTGAAAACAGGAAGACGATCTGTCTGGCGCCACAAACTTTTCTGCGCTTTAAAGTTTATTCGGAAATCGCCAGTAAAATGTTGATAATTTTTTTTTACTTTTTTTTATAAATAATATCAAACTTATGGGAGAAATTCAAGTTACTTTCACATACAAACTTTTTAGGACCATCGATTTAAACGCGCTTAAGAAGGTAAACTCATAAACTTTCATTTTCTTGTCGAGTTAACTTGCATTTATAAATATAGGTTCATATATTTTGATATAATTTTACTTCTTACAACTAAATTATGATTTTAAATATTTTTATGCTCCACAAGAAATGATCTTTTATCTTGAGAACTATTGACATTTTTAAAGATACAAGCTCATCCCGACATTACACTCATCGAGACCCTTCATTTAAGTACCCGCATCAATTTTTCATATATTTATATATATTATATATATGTATATATGAAAAATATATCAAAAATGCATGTGGGTACTCAAATGAAAGCTCTTGAGGAGTGTAACATCGGGATGAGCTTATATATTTAAAAAACGTCAATATTTAAGAAAGTACAGAGCAATTTAACAAATATCTTGTAAGCTATTGACATTTTTAAAGATATAAGCTCACCCCGACATTACACTCATGGAGATCTTTCATTTGAGTACCCACATGCATTTGATATATTTTTCATATATAATAATATATGTATATATATAAATATATGAAAAATTGATGTGGGTACTCTAATGAAAGCTCTTGGTGAGTGGAACATCAGAATGAGCTAATATCTTTAAAAACACCAATAGTTAAGAAAGTACAGTACAATTTAACATAATTAAGAAAAAACCTTGTATCTTGTGAACTATTGATATTTTTTAAAGATATAAGCTCATCCCGATGTTACACTCATCAAAACCTTTCATTTGATTACCCACGTCAATTTTTTATATATTTCATATATTTATATATTTATATATAAGTATATATGAAAAATATATCAAAAATGCATGTGGGTACTCAAATGAAAGCTCTTGATGAGTGTAACATCGGAATGAGCTTATATCTTTAAAAACACCAATAGTTAAGAAAGTACAGTGCAATTCAACAAAAGTCATTATTTAATAAAGACAAATTTTATTTATATTTAATTCACAAGTCAGTTTGTTTGTTAAAAAAATTTAATAAATTATCAAGTGACTGCTACCTTTAATGTCATAAATTTTATGACAGTTAAATTTTTTATCTGAAGAAATAAAATTGTTTAAAATTTCAAACAAATTGATTTCTTGTCACAAAAAAGTTCATTTTTTTCCCAAAAGAAATTTTTTTATCTTTAAAACTTAAAATTTTGTACTCCAGTATGCTCGACTCGATTTTTTGAATACTCGAAACGAAACTAATTTTCTCAGGCTTACGTGCAAGCCGCCTGTGACCTTGTTTCTCGGGGACTCGAGACTGTAATTTATCTTGCTCGACTGTATCGTTTAACCCGTAGTAGTATAGAAGTACAGCCCTAGTAAAGCAAAGTAAAGTAAAGAGACGACCTTTACTTGTGCTTGGAATAACATGGCAAGGTACGAAGAGAAGGGGATCAATTTTGAATGATGTCGATTAGACCTAATCTGATAGTTTATGAGGATGAGTATTAAAGATTGCTTCAAATCTTGCTCTAGACTATGTGTGTTATAATATTTACATATAATTATTTATAGTCGGACGGCGGCGGGTAAGCTTCCCAGATGTGTAAATATCAGTGATGTTTGTTGGACATGTGAGAGCTAGGGATTGTGATGTGGATCCTGGATGCGGTTGGTTAGAGGACCGGAAAGGTTTCAGTCTCTCAGTACATCAGTGGACAGCTAAATTCAAACAAGACACTAGATATAGTGTGTGTATATGGAGATAGGGGATGGATGCACAAGCCCAACGCATTAAATTTCGCAACACGTATACAGAGTGCATCACACAGTATAATATACATATGTATATGTTAACGTAAACACGGGTGCCCAAAGAGTAGTGCCAGAGCCCCGAGCTCGTGAACCAAACGACTAGATGGGCTAAACAAAACGGAATATTGTAGTAGATTGCAACCCAACATCAGATCAAGGGAAATTTACTTATCCAATTATGAATTTTTTTTTCTTTTATAATTTCTTTTTCTTTTTTAATTTTTAAGTTTCTAAAGCCAGAAGGGCGTAAAAAGTTGTTTTTTATTACAATACATGAAAATAATGCTACATAAATCAAGTAATATCATAATAAATATGAAAAATTATAAATTAAACTACAAAAAGGGCAAAATAGTCGACAAAAAAAATTTTGTTTTTAATTTTTATAAAATGGTAACATGTTTTATTTGACTCTAATAGCAATTCACGAAAATTACAAAATTTTTCTTCTTTAGATCAAAAAATATTTAAGCTTCTCAAGTCAAAAGAGCGGATAATTTGAGACACATGCCCTTTTGGCTTTAAAAATTTTTTTTTCACCATTTTTATACGCCTTTCTCGCATTTGTTACGCAATATATTTAAAAAAAAAAAATTCTTTTGTAAAAAATGAACATTTTTGTGAAAAGAAATTAATTTGTTTGAAACTTTATTTCTTATCTGAAGAAATAAAAATTGTTACAGTAAATTTCTTGTTGAAAAAAAGTTTTCTAGACTTGAAAACAATTTTGGATAAAAATTCTAAAGTTGTCTATTTAAAATTGTTTTTTTCCAAATTTAGAAAACTTTTTTCCAACAAAAAAGTTACTGTAAAAAAAAATCTTTTCTTTAGCTAAAAAATAAAATTGTTTAAAATTTATCACATTAAAGTTAGCTTGATAATTTTTTTTACAAACAAATTTGGTCCAAAAAATAATTTTTTAAGAATTGCATTTTTAATTTTTTAAAATTTCTACGTCATATTTATTTTGCCATAATTTTTTGTTAAAAATCTTCCAAAAAAAATTAATTTTTTGTCACAATAATACCCATATTCTTCAAAAGAAATTTTTTCTCTCAGTGTAGCTCTAGTTATTGATTTTACAAAAAATATCTAAAAATACTTTTCATTCAATTAATTAAGCTTATTCAATGGAAAATTTTTTTCTTAAATTGACCAATTTTCTATAGTTAAAAATAATAATTTAAATGGCATTCGTTAAAATCAAAATTACCTTCGGGATGATTATTATTTGATTATATTACTTAAACAATATTTAAATTTTATCTTCAAGTTGAATTTATGACATTTTTATTATTATTATATAAACTGAATTAACTTGTAAGAATGACAATGAAAAGTTAGAACAGTTTAATTAAGATTAAGAATATTATTATCATTTTAATGATGATAAAATTTTTAATTTTTAAAAATTACCTGCTAAAAAGAATATGACTTTTAATTAGATAAAAAAAAAATTTTCAACTTTTTCTAAATATTTTTTCAATGTCTGAAAAAATATCAATTGGCTTTAAGTAAGTACTTAAAGATTACTTGAATGAAAAGATAAATATTTATTATTAGCTTAAGGATAAACCAAAAATCTAAAAAAAATAAGGACGACCTCAACTACCCTAAACTAAAAAGATAAATATAATTTAATTTATTCAATAGCCTACTTGAACTCTCTTAAGAAAAAAAATAAATTTAATCTTGTTTATTTTACAAGGACTCTAAAAATAACGATAAGACATTTTAATGAGACTTTAAAGATTATTTAATGTCTATTAAAATAATTAACAGTCCATTCATTAATTCTTTAATTAAAAAATGTATTAATCAAGTTTGTGCAAAATATTGAGAACTATTTTTATTCTTTTAGGGTTTCATTTATTACCTATGATGTAACTAGAAAGCAAAAAAAGGAAAATGGTGAATATAGGAGACAAGATAAAAAATTTAAGAGAGATAAAAGAAAAGAGCAAAAAGGGTTAACGGACAAATCGTTATTCCTACCTCCAGAGCGGGCGCTTTAGCCTGAAACACAAACGGCAATCCTGAAAAAAAATTCTAACGCCCGTATTTCTTTTCTTCCTTAATTTTTTTTTTTTTAAGTTTTTTTTCCATTATTTAATATATTTTTTATTTCTCGGGGTCTTGAAAAGTTTTTCAATTTTCCAGTTTTAAAATAAATACTTAAATATAAATTGCGATAAGAAATCTTTTAAATTTTTTTGATTTAAATATTTGATAATTTAATTTTATTATTATTGTATCATTATCATTATATTATTATATATTTTAAAAATCTGAATATGTAAATGAATAGTAGAATAAGATATGAACAAAACAAGAATGAAGTAAGTGAAAAAATAAAAGAATAAAAGTGTAAACTAACGTCAGTTGTTGCTTGCGGCCATTCCAGCTATTATCCGGAATCGTTTTTGTGCTTTTAGTTTTTATTATTCATGTTGCGAATATTAATATAATTATGAATATATATTATCTTATCTATGAGCTACAAGAGTTAATTTAATTTTATTCATTAGACTAAAAAAAAAAAATAAATTATTCCTTTAAAGGCGTAATTTAAATTACTTTAAAAACTTAAATTCTCTTGTTCTTAAAGTTTGACCGCGACTCAGTTATACTTTTATTATTCTTACCTGCAGCCTGTAGTTTGGATCTTGCGTCGCTGCGTGTGCTGCTAAGAAAGGATCGTAGTAGACACTGAAAAAAAAATAAATATTCATTTTTATTTAAACGATCTTAAAAGTAATCAGCGACACGGAAAAATATTATCATACTAAAATTAGCAGAAATTTTAAATTATATTATTAAAAAAATATTTAATGAAAATTTCAATTGTATTTTTTTACAAATAAAATTTTATTTTTTTTAATAATAATTTCTAGATAAATAATTAAGAAATGACCTTGTATCTTGTGAACTATTGACATGTTTAAGGATATAAGCTCACCTTGACATTACACTCATCGAGACCTTTCATTTGAGTACCCACATCAATTTTTCGTATATTTCATATATTTATATATATTATATATATATGAATATATGAAAATGCATGTGGGTACTTAAATGAGAGCTCTTGATGAGTGTCACATCGGGATGAGCTTATATTTTTAAAAATGTCAATAATTACCCGCATGGAGAAATATATACGTCAATATAAATATATGTCGCATATATAATATATATGCCGCATATATTTACGCCAAAAAAATATGTCAACATATATTTTTCACATAGATGCTGAGATATATGCAGAGATACATGCTTACATATATGTAAGCATACACTGAAAAAAAAATTTCTAAGTTTGTGAATTTTTTTACTCAAATCAAGAAAGTTGAATTCTTTAAAATTATTTTCTTGATTCAAGTTAAATTATTTTCTGTGTATCTCTAGACATATATATATACTGCATTTATATGCGTGCATATATATATGTGAACATATATGCGGACATATATTTAGCGCAAAAAAAATATATGTAAAAATATATATTTGCATATATTTTTCTCATATATATTTTTCCATGCGGGTAAGAAAGTACAGTGCAATTTAACATAATGAAGAATCGACCTTGTATCTTGTTAACTATTGACATTTTCAAAGATATAAGCTCACTCTGACATTACAGTCATCGAGACCTTTCATTTGAGTACCCACATCAATTTTTCATATATTTATATATATTATATATATGTATATATGAAAAATATATCAAAAATGCATGTGGGTGCTCAAATGAAAGCTCTTGATGAGTGTAACATCAGAATGAGCTTATATCTTTAAAAACGTCAATAGTTAAGAGAGTACAGTGCAATTTAACAAAAGTCATTATTCAACTTGTTAATTAAAAAAAATATTTTATAAAAATTGCAATTATAGTTTTTTAAATTTGCTACATTTAAAATTTTTTTTCTTAATAAAAATTCTAAAAATTATCTGCTAATTTTATTTTAATAAAAATATTAACAATACTAAAGTTAGCCGATTTTTTTTTTATTTATTAAATTAGAACTAAAACATATTTTTTAATAATTTTATACAAATAAAATTTTATTATAATTTTTTTAATAAAAATTTTCAGATACCGGCTAACTTAATTTTCATAAAATATTAAAAAAAAAAATGATAAGTAATTAATTAATTAATTAAAAAAAATATTATTCCGTGTGTTAAATTAATCCAAATAAAAAAATGATATAAAAGTGGAAAATAAGTGTCCAAGTAAAATGAGAATCTTAAGATTAAGGATTTTTATCGAACAAAATTTTGTTTCTCACAAGTACTTAGTAAGATTGAACAGTAAAGCCGTAGCGATGCAAACTCAGCGGAGTTAATAAAAGTGCTAGGTCAAACAGATGTAAAATTTATGAGTGAAAATCCGCAAAAAAAAAAAAAATAAACATGCGGCTACTTACGTTGATGCAAAGGGATGTAAAGCCGTAGCAGCAGCGGCTGCTGCAAGAGGTCCTGGATTACGTGCAAGTGCTAATGCCGCGCCAGCTGGAAAAGCGGCTCTGGTAGCTGGACCAACTCTTCCTCGCTGAATAGCAACACCTCTTAATGCTGCAGCTGTAACAGAACATGCCACCGCCTACCTTGTAGTGATAAAGTCGCAAGACAAAAAACTTAGTTCAATCATCTTGTTGGTGATGTGGTTATGGTTGATGATCAACATCGGCAGCTGCAGTAGCCAGTTCCAGTTCGCCAAAGTTAATGAGATAAGGTGTGATTTTATTATCAAGAGATATAATAGGGGACGTAATGACGCTAGTTCATTCAAAGGATAAGAAGTTTATTCTAAATTTTATGAGCTAAGAGTGAGACGGGTTTTACTTGTTGTAAGAGACATTGAGAAGAGTTACTTTTTTAAAGTTAAGACTAGTTTGTCACGTTATATCCTCATACCTATACTCAAACTACACAAGTAGGACGTTTTACTTGGTGAAAAGCACGAAGAACTCCAACCAGGACTGTCCTGTCAAGTTTACTTGACAGTTGAATAGTAGTAGAACATACTTTTGACAAGTTGGTTTAAAGTCAAAGTGACACCGGTCTCGGATGACTTTCCTCGGCAAAAGATGATAACTTTTGAACAATATCCTAAAGTTCCTACATCTGAGCTGTTCATTTTAATTTAAGCGCTCTACGAGAGGATTTTGTGAAAATTCATTTACCAGAATTATCTTGGATAGAAATTTATATAAATGGAAAATAAATTTTATCATGATTAGAATAATTTATTTTTTTACTTTAATTTACTCCTTTTTTTTTTTAAGTTTTATGAAAAAATATTAAAATTAAAAATAATTTATTAATTTATTTTATAAAAAAAATTCATTAAATGCATAAAAAAATTTTTAAGGACACTAAAATTTCTTTTATTGAATTATTGAAAGAAATTTTGGCAAAAAATTTAATTTAAAAATTTTAATTAGATTTTTCGACAGGAAAATGATTAAATTAATAAAATATGACCAGAAAACTTTATTTTTTTTAATTATTATAATTTTTTTTCAAGTTTTATGAAAAAAATATTAAAAGTTCAAAGTTTTTACTATTTTTTAAAATAAAAAACTAAAATTTTTAACTAGAATAATTTATTGATTTATTTTCCAAGGACACTTTTTTTTTAATTATTGAGAGAAACTATGACAAAAAACTTTAATTTTGAAAATATAATTAGATTTCTCGAGAAGAAAATTATTAAATTAATAAAATTAGAATATCAAACTTTTTTTAAAACTTGAAATAAAAGTTATAAGTATAAATTGTATAAGAAGGAAAATAAATGGCCGATGACGTTCAGTTGGGCATTGATCGATCTCCGAGCCAATCACTCTTTTTGCGAGGGTTTGAAATGTCTGCAGATGTTAGGTAAGAAATTTAAAAGCGATTGAGTTTGTGAAAGACACTCAATTCTTTTTTAAATAAGAATTCACTTGAACATTAACGACATCCAGTTGAATGAGATCGTTCACGAGCAGTCCCAAAAAAGAGTAGATAAACTTTTTATTCGGTCTCTAGCGTTGATAAAGATCTGATATGTTAGAAGACTGTTGCGAGTGTCCTTAGAGCGCCACTGGGAATTTAATGGGTTACGAATGACTATGGGTCAGATCCGAATATTTTGAGAAAATCTCGAGGGAATTTGAAAATGCATCTATGGAGAAATTGCAAGACGATTACCTCAAAAAGTTTCTTCCGTTCGTCCTTTTGGCTCTCTTCCACTCACTTGAAGATCTCGGTAAGTTGAAGTCAATCGTAATAAATAAATTTCTATCGAGTTATTTTTTTAGCTCCCTACCTTTGATCCTTCAGGACTTTTTCTTAAGTAAAACTGTTTCAATATTATTATGATACTTGCATAATTTTATTTTTAATTTTTATAAAATAAAAAAAATCATTGCTTTAATTTTTAATTCAATTTTAATATTTTTTAGATTTAAAACGATAAATTTCTTCTAAAATATTATTTTTTATCTCAAGAAAATTATTAAAATTTAAATATGATGTAAGATAATTGGCAAAAGTGAATAAAATTTTTTAAATTATTTTTTTGTTTTAATAACTTTTAAATTTCAATAAAAAAAATTTTTTTAAATAAAAAATTTTTTCTAAAATTTTATATTTTATCTAAACAAAATTATTATTTACACAAAAAATGATTTTAGTAAATTAAAATAAATATTTTTTCAATTATTACAATTTAAATATGATGTAAAATAATTGTCAAGAGTGAATAGAATATTTTGATTTAAAAATTTTTAAATTTCAATAAAAAATTTATTAAAAATTTTTTTTTTTTTCAATTTATAAAATAAAATTGCTAAAAAAGCGCTATAAAAAACTATTACTGAGTAAGTATCGGTCAAATAACGAAACAGCAACGTCAACAAAAAAATTTGATCTATTGTGTTGAAATTTATAGAAACATTTAACGAGAAAAAAATAAAACCCATGACAAAGCTTCTACAGGAGTCAAGTGTTAAAAAATATAAAATATTTTTTCTAAATTAAAAACATTAACAATTTAACCGACTGATTATTAAATCAATTAACGATTTAAGATGCACAGGCACATTCCAGTGGATTATTAATTAAAAAAAAAAAAATTCGGCCTACCAATATGTTATTTTAACAGTGTTAAAAAATCTATTTAATGAAGGAGTTAATCGAAAAAACACCGACTAAACGTGCTTTCAATAAAATTGACAATAAAATTAATGCAATAAATAAATAAGATTAGTGACAAACTCCTAAAAAATCGTGCAGGCGATTTAATAGGACGTGTATTATTTATTTGTTTAGTGAGTAGAGGATCATGTGCGGGAGTCGCTACGTAGAAGAAAAGACCGAGTACTTTATTTAATTAAAAGAATTGTTAAAAAGAGAGAGAGAGAGGAAGATTATCTGATTGATAAATAATAAATTTATTATTAATCTTATCAGACACTTCCTAACAATAAGGGAGTTTTTTAAGATCGGTACCTCCGTCTCGCCGCAGCTCTTGGGGCGAGGACAAGGGGTGCAGCTGCAGGGGATGGCGTCACTGCGGCTGCTGCTACAGCGGCTGCTGCGGCTGCCGATGGCGCGGCCGCTCCCAGCCAACTCCAGGGCACGGCCGGCAACCTGTATCCTGTCAAAAACGTTTGTCGTAGATTCTAACAAACTATTTTATTTTATAACTTGTCACTGCTCAAAATATTATCGTTTATGCCATCGAGGTCGCTGCATTTTAATTTATTTTATTAATTTTATTAATGTTAATTTTATTATATGAAGAAAAATTATTCCTGTTAAAAGTCCATTAAATTCATTGACTGTTCAGTTCATTTATATCAAATAACCATTATTTAATTAAGCTTTAATACTTTTTTAAACTAAAAATATTAATTTAATACAATTACTAGCAGCTTTGCAGTCACTATGTGACTTCCGTGACTTGTGAACTATAAATGAATGGAATTTTGCTTTATTGAATAATGAATTTTGTTAAATTACACTGTAATTTCTTAACAATTGACGTTTTTAAAGATATAAGCTCATCCCGATGTTACACTCATTGAGACCTTTCATTTGAGTACCCACATGCATTTTCATATATTTTTATATATTTATATAT